CTGATAACGAGAAAATCACTTTTTTGATCAAAATATATTTCCATTTTAAACAAATGATATTTCTACCATTTTAAGCAATGTGTTTTAAAATGAGTTTTCGTTGGTTTGACTTCTAAAGACATATTTTATTTTGAACTATTTAGAGTGTGGTATTTAAAAGGAAAGAAATAGAAAACTGCTTTTAAAAGGTATTAAAATCTATTCTTGAAACACGTTTTCTCTTCATTGTTATGTTTTGCCATTGAATTCTAATCATGCTATTGATGTCAACTGAATGCCAAAATGGAAATGAATGTTCCATGAATAAATGCATTAGAAACAATTGAATCATCGTGGGGGTTTTTCAAGTTTGGGTTTGTTCGAATCTTAAAATTAAAAGCTCATTTTATCAAATTTATATGTTTTACCCCTACCCCTCAAAATGTGCAATATCTCAAAAATTACTTGAGATATCTCAAAAATTCAAAAACCACTGTGTTCAGCATTGGATCTCCTATAAGGTACAACCCTTTACTCAAAATTGTCAAAATCCGACTTTTGGGACCTTTCTTCAGGCACACAAACTTTTTTTCACCCGTATGTTGAATACAAGTTTTACTAGGGATAACGCCCTCGTAGTATATTCGTGAGGGTGCTAAACTTCGTTCCGCTACATCTCGGTTAACCCCAAACTGCACCTGAAGATAACCACTGTTCATATTATTATGGTCATTTTTCGAGGATTGATAATTGGCAACTGTAAAATTCGGCTGTCCTTCTTAACAACATGTTTTACGGATAACCTGTGGTAGAAAGCATTAGTTTGTTCCAAATTTCGAAAACTAAACATTATTAAGATCTCTCTTAACTCAGGGAAATGGTTCGCATCCAACCACCGATAAGCACCGTTGGGTTTTTTTTCCTTGTCTTTTGTTAGTTCAAAGAAAACTTTTACCTGCATTACCAGCATTTTTTTTCCTGTGAGTCAGGTTTGAAATTTATATAAGGATAAGCGAAATACAGAAATTTTGTTGAGAGCGACAATCGAGACATTCACAGTATCATAAGTATGAGCGTACGTTAAGTGTGTTCGACGACTTTTTAAAATTTTGTTTTTGTTTTTGTAAAGTGTTTTACAGCGCTCGCAACTGCATAGGTCATATGAGCGCGTGGGACACACCTAATATTTTCAGTTGGTAGGAAATTTTGAATTTTGCTCGGGTGGCGGCCGAAGCCTACTCTTATCGATTTTAGACCACCAAGGGATCTTTAACGTGCGCAACTTGCACACGGGCCCTCCGAGATTTTTTCCCTTGTCCGA